ATGAGAACCTATACTTGTGTTTGCTTTCCTGTAAATGGGATAATCATCCTTTAAAAAAAAACTTTTCCAAGAACTTTTCTCTGCATAGAATTCTTGGAAAGAAGACAAGCCTAAAAATAATAAAACAAAATACCAAATTTGATAGTTTACTTACAGTGCTATATATGTATATATTAGAATATAGAATATATATTAGAATATAGCTTTTATGGCATGTTTTAGTAAACTTTTTTTTTGTTTTAGTAAACTTTTATTCTTCTTTTTTTTTTTTGTCAGTTGTGGGGCCTGAACTCTGGGCCTGGGTGCTGTCCCTTAGCTCTTCAGCTCAAGGCTTGCACTCTATTGCTTGATCCACAGTGCCACTCCTGGCCTTTTCTGCTTATGTGGTGCTGAGGAATCGAACCCAGGGCTTCATGCATGCAAGGCAAGCATTCTACCACTGAGCCACCTTGCCAGTCCTATTATTCTTAATTATAATACATTTACCTTTATTATACTTATACCATAAAATCGTCTATATAAAGACTGGGTATAATATAATATAATATAATATTAGGATGCTGGTATTCTTTAAAAATTAATAGAATTTCTTTCTTTTCTTTTTTCCTTTTTGGTGGTACTAGGACTTATACTAAGGGCCTTGCACTATGTAGGAAGGTGCTCAACTACCCGAGCCATGTCCTCAGCCCTTTTTGCTTTAGTTAGTCTGTGAATAAGGACTCATAGTTATGCTCGGGTCAGCCTGTACTGTGACTGTATTGCTTCCACTTCCCACACAGCTGAGATGACAGACCTACTTTACCTGGCCCACCTTTCTATTGATTGAGGTGAGGGCCTGGCAACTTTTTGCCAGGTTGGCCTGGAACTTTGGTCTTCCCTATTTCTAATTCTAGCGTAGCTAGGATTAAAAGCATGAACCACTGTGCCTGGTTAGAACATGTCTTACTATCACATGAAAAGCTTACCAATATCCATTCAGAAGCATCTGTTAATTTTCCAATTTTCATTTCTTACTATAATCACTAGTTTGTTAAAGATGCTTTTAAGACTTCAATGAAAGGCAAAAACATTTCCTCAGAACATGGACACATATCTATACAAACAGTTTGGCTAATAATTTAATAGATGCTCAGGCTATCTGAAATACATTTATGGTCCCAGATTAAGGATTCCACCATAAAGAAGATGTACTATTCGTTCTCTTTGTCAAATTTGAAAATAAACCATTTATGGCTTACCCCTGGGCAATATTTTAGAAACTAAATAGTTCAGGTTGTTGTAATTAACAAAGCATACCTGTGTGCAGATGTGTTTCCTATAGTGGGTAAAAGAGAGGAAAAAGAGAAAGGATTCCTGTGCAGCACTGCCCAGTGTTTGGGCTAATCCAGTCACACCATTTCTCTGCATATTAGAGGAAGAAATTAACAAAAAAGTTCTTAGAACATACAAATTAATGTCTTTTAGGTTTCTGTAATTGCCATTATCTTGTTCAATTATGAAGATGTTTAAATAACTTCTAATTTAGCACTTTTAAGCAATGCTTTTATACATTTTTACATTAAATGTTGAGTTGGGAATTTAATTTTTTGGTAAGAGGCACGTTTTTTTTTCTTGATAGCTATTCCCCGCCAAACCATTTACTGATTATACCATTCTTTACTCACTGATTTGAAATGCCACTTTTATGATGTAATTTCCATAGGTATGTGTGGTTACCTTTGGACTTTGTGTTTTGGGGTCTGTCTGTGTTATTGTCACACAGTTTATAGTACTCTGGTTTTATTCTTATTTTGCTTTGTGGTAGGGTAACTCTGACCCTGTTCCTCACAGCCCAAACATTCTCTTTCAAACTTTTATTTTTATTCTTCCAAATGAACTTTAAACTTGTTCAGTTTTGCCTGAAAAACTTCTGCTTGGGTTTCGATTGGACTATATTCCATTTATCAATTAATTTGGGAAGTTATTTTTGCCTAGCATGCTTCTTTCTTTTTCCAGAAGTATCATTGTGTTATTGGAGAGTTTTATACTTGGCACAGGGGAAAGAGTGAGAACATATCTCTGTTACTTTCATATAGAAGCTGAGCCACTGTCATCCCAATGACCACAAATTTACTTATGGCACTTGGTAATTTTCAACTATTGAGTAGAAAATGGGGAAGTAGAAGAGGTATACCGATATTCTATAATTGCAGTTTATTTTTTTATCATATATGAAATGAATGGTCTTTAAAGAACAGTCGATTTTCAATGTCTCCAGTGGTTAGACTCCAATCATGACTTGAAATTGTCACCCGTACCTGATTATTCACTCTGAACTGTACAGCCTAAATTTTAGAAGCCCATTTACCTTGTGCTCTAACAAGCTCATCGCCATCTGTCTCCTCTGAGCCCTTTGAGACTTTTCTGAATGTGCACGTTTTTGCTCTGCCTTCTTTACCTTTTCTACCTCTGTCTTCCTTTTTTCATTGTCTCCTTCTGTTTCTTTCTGTAACATGATATCCTCCCCTTCTTCTCCCATATCTCTATATCTTTCTTCTATCCTTGGGATTTCCAAAGAAAAGACTCCAGTTATTCTGAATATCATGATTAATGCTAGGACTTCTGGATGTCTATCATTGGTTGAGCTGGCTCATTTCAGACAGGAATGTTGTTTATCTTCTGTACCCATATAACCATATGTGGTTCTTGAAAAGAAGGCCCAGGATTAAAAGACTATATTGCTGGGAAGGTTTTGCATTGGAAAGGATTGCACTGAACCTCTTTCCTAAGTAGTAACTTGGTTCGCCTAGCCAAATGAAAGAATAATATGGGCATTGTTTGGAATAGATGTAGATTAGATATCCTTGTGATCTGGAAAAAAACAACCCAACAACCTTGGTCTATATATACAATCTACTTTCTGCTTAAAAAAAAAATAAACCACAAACAGGTCAGATTCTGTCTGTGGGTATTTAGCAGTCCCTTTACCAACCAGGAACTGATAAAAAGCAGGTTGTTTTTCCTTTTTTCAGGAAATAGAATTTCATTTCAGTTTCCTCTCTCAGTCATTTCACATTTTTTTCTGTTTTCTTTGTTCTTTCATTTTCTTTTTGCTTTACAGACCTCCTTTCTGAACTTTTTCTGAAGCTGTTGTATACGAGACTTTTCTTGGCATGTTACTTTCTATTGATTATGTTTGTGTGTTCACACATGTTCATATGCAGAGAAAGGACAATTCCAACATGTGAATTGTTGATTCACTCCCCATTTATGTTTAGAGTAATTCATTATTTCAGATAACTGTGTATGTGGTTGCAAACCACTTTTAAAAAAAGTTTTTTAAGGGCTGGGAAGGTGGCTCAGTGGTAGAGCGCTTGCCTTGCATGCCTGAGGCCCTGGGTTTGATTCCTCAGCACCACATAAGCAAAAAGAAAAAAGCCAGAAGTGGCACTGTGGCTCACGTGGTAGCGTGCTAGCCTTGAGCTGAAGAGCTGAGGGACAGCGCTCAGGCCCAGAGTTCAGGCCCACGACTGGACCAAAAAAAAAAAAAAAGTTTTTTAAAACCTAGAAGCAATTTTATAATAAGCAACCATATGAGCGTTGACAGAGCAGTCCTGCACTGATGTGGTTTTTGCTCCTGATAGGCTCCTTAGTCTTTCTTAGTCTGCTACTGACCAGGCTGCTGCCCATTGGAGGCGAGTAGATGTGTAGGAGACTGGCCAGCCTTTGCTCAATTTCCTCCTCATCTCAGAGAGAGAAATTGGGTTGTTTTTGTTGGATGAATACACAGAAGCCCAGGACTTCTCACAGCGAGTGCACCCCGGTGGCCCACCAAAGTGGGCGATCCGTTCCATCCTGGTTTCCACTTCCTCGACACTCCTGTAGGTGGGGTGGGATGCACCCTGTCTCTTGAGGCCCAACTTGGCTCTGCCTTTATGTGTTTCCAGAAGAGCGAGGAATGAATCCTTAAAGCCTCCAGCAGGCTGGCCTGTCAATGGTTCACTTGAGTAAAGCTTCACTTGAGTAAAGATCTGCTGACTTGGCTCCCCACAGAGCTTCTGAGAAATCATATGTTCATGACCGCTAGCCATCTGTTCCATTCTATTATTATTATTATCTTTTTGTGTATGTATGTATCAATATGGGAATTTCAACTCAGGGCCTTGTACTCCCTCTTGATTAAACTATTCAAGGATGGTGCTTTACCACTTGAGCCACATCTTCATTTCTGGCATTTTGCTGGTTAATTGGAGATAATAGTTTCACAGACTTTTTGACTTGGGTGGCTTTGAGCCTTGATCATGAGATCTCAGCCTCCCAAGTAGCCAGGATTACAAGCGTAAAAGCCCAATGCTTGGTTTGTTTCATTCTTTTGACATTTGCCATCAGTATGCGCCTCGGTGACCTGGTATGGCCTCTTTTCGCCTTAGAACCAGAATACTTCTTGGGGCGTTGTGCCAACCAGAAGCTCTTAAATGAGAATGAGGGCTGGCTGGGTGAGGCTGAACTTGGAAATTCCTCAGAAAAGACAAAGAGCTAATAGAACAGCGTAGCAAATGTGGGGGCAGGAAGTCGTATTTCTTTGGCAATGTTTGTGAGTGTTTAAGATTCTTGCAATCTGTAGTGTGGCCCAGGACAAGGTAAGGACAGCACAAAGAATGCTAATTGTGGTGTTTCAGGTATAAGATAGAAATCAGTACAAGCGATGAGGTTTGGCAGGCAGAAATTCAAACTAAAATATGATGAAGAATCATACTCACATATCTAGTAAACAACAACAACAAAAAATCTTCAACTGTGCTCTGAACTTCTTTAAAAACAGGACAAACAGCTCTGACACCAACATGAAACACATCAGGAACATCTTCCCTGATGTGAGCCATGTCGGGAGGAAGATTCATAGTACATCTGAGCGCACTCACATAAGTGAATCTAACAGTGTTTTGGACCTTGTGCCCTTTCATTGTGGTTTCTTAGAGGACTAGAAGTGTAATGATGCCCTCATTTATTCATTTTTTCAGGGGCAGATGACGGTCTATGCCAAGTTTGGCAAAAACGTTTATCTTCCTGAAGATGCCGAGTTCTATTTTATTTATGATGGATCTCATCAGAGGCATGTTGTGATTGCCGAGCGAGTTGAGGATAACGTCCTTCAGTCCAGCATTCCAGGTGAGCTGCCCTCTTTGTTGTATGACTCGATATCTATCTACAGGCATCTTCCTTCCAGGGATATAGGCCAGAGAGAGAGCCAGGGGAAACAGGAGACGTGTTCCACAGTTGCACACGTGTGGGTATATGACCATGACTGCACAAGTGGGTATATGGTTGTTCATGTGTGTGTGGGGGGGAGTGGGGAGGTGGGTGTGCACCATTGGGAAGGACACTTGAACTACATTATCTCACATCTGGAGTCCCTTCAGCTGTGTCTCTAGCTCCGTTCAGAGATGTAACTAAATGCAAGCAAGCCCATCTTGCTGATAGTATCCTGCTGTCAAGATCAGCTGTGCCTCCAATGCAGTAGAATGGAGGAACCCTGTTCTTTAAGTATCAGCTCCTGGTTCCTGAGACCTATTGCCAGGATTGGCTCAGGAAGAGCTGGCACTACAAAGGTTGGCTTCACTCTTCTTCCTCATTGCCTGTGGGTAGCCTGGCAGTGCCAGGGCCACCACACACCCCCTTGCCTTGCTTCTTGTGATGGCCAGGATGCTCTGTCCATCCAGACTCTTTCTTATTGCCTCTCAAGCTCCAGAATCTTCTCTGCCCACCACCAAAGTGTTTCTATTTTTAAACCTGTATTCTCCGAGTTATCTTCTTCAGCAACAGATAAATGAATACATCCAGTGGATCTGTTGGTAGGAGAAGGGTCACAGATATGGTGTTTTCTCTTTCTGTTGGGTTGTGGCTTGTGCATATAAGGCACATCAAGCTTTGATCCAAAGGTGAAAATAAAATGTCATCACCACTTGCAAGATAGGCAGGATGCTATTATGTTATCACATATTAGAATATTGTATTTTTTTGGGGGTCCGGTTATGGGCCTGAACTCTGGGCCTGGGCACTGTCCCTCAGCTCTTCACCTCAAGGCTAGTACTCTACCACTTGAGCCACAGCGCCACTTCTGACTTTTTTTTTCTGCTTATGTGGTGCTGAGGAATTGAACCCAGGGCTTCATGCATGCAAGGCAAGCGCTCTACCACTGAGCCACCTTCCCAGCCCCAGAATATTGTATGTTATATTTTATTAATATTTTTCTGATGATTGTTTGAATTTTCTTAATCATAGGTCTCTCAGGTCCTCTTCATTTGTAGGGATTTTCAGTTTTTCTTTTGTTGTATGTTCATGTCCTGGGGCTTGAACACAAGGCATGGGCTCTTTCCCTTGAGCTAGCTCAAGGCTAGCAATCTAACACTTGAGCCATGGCTCCATTTCAGGCTTTTTTGGTGCTTATTTGGAGATAAGAGCATCATGGACTCTCCTAGCCTATCTTGGAAAGGTGATCCTGAAATCTCATCCTCCTGAGTATCTAAGATTAGAGGCTGAGCCTGGCTTTTTTTCTTCCAGTTTCAATTTTAAGTGTCTTTGTATTACATGTATCTGCTCCTACTTGTGGAGAGAAGGTAGAGTGCAAACAGGTGGGCAGCAGACATGGCAAGATTTGTAGAGAAGTGTACATGATTTTCAGCCCTGCCCTGTCTTTGTGGACAATTTTAAGCATCTTCTCTCTGGCCCAGTAATCCTTGTTGTTACCAGAGAAGACCTCAGACTTAATTACTAGTATGTAATTACTTTGGCACATCTGTGCTCTGGCTCTGGCATCTCTGCTAATGTCTTTCTTGCCTTCAGTTTTCCCTTCTTTTTTAAAAACTTTTTTGTTTTATTAAAACTCTTATAAAGAATAAAAGTAAGAGCCAAAGTGCCTCCTCGAACAGCAACTCTTTCTTTTTTTCTTTACTTGCATGGAGGGACCAGCCTCCTTTCCCTCTTGTGTGTTGGAGAGCATCTTTCTGATTGACTCGTGTCCTGTTGCCAGTGAGGGTCCTTGCCTTCATTGTAACAGATTCCCTGGGTGTTGTGACACTCTCTTTTGGAACCTTAGGTGTCCTGGATGAGAACTTTACCATGTAACCTGCAGAGACGTGCCTAGAAGTTTCTATAATATGGAGTAGGTATGTGCGGTCTAGCAGGGAAGGGTGAATTCTGATCCTCAGCTCTGGAAGCATCAGTATGAGGATGGCAATAATTCACTCCTTTTTTTCTTTGCCTTTTTTTTTTTTTTGTGCTGTTACCAGGGCTTGAACTCAGGGCCTTATATATTCACTTGGCTTTCTTGCTTCACTGATGATGCTCTATTATTAGAGAAACATTTCTAGTCCAGCATTTTGCTGGAGATAGAATCTTGTTGACTTTTCTTCCCAGGTTGGCTTTGAGCCATGATCCTCCTGATTTCAGTCTACTGAGGACCTAGGACTACAAGTGTGAGCCACTTGGGTCTAGCAATAGAGTAGTTCTCTTCTAATAAACTTGATTTTCTCTAGATCCTTGAAACTCTGGCAGCATAGCCTTTGAGGAAAAGCTTTGGTAGATGAGGCAGAGCAGGAATGGCTTGTAACCCTTAACCATTTGCTTAGGGACAGAAGATTGCCATGGACCAGTGGTAGCTGAGTAACACTTTTCCACCCAGCCATGATATCATATTGTAATCACAGTTGTATGGTGCTACCAGTTCCTGAACCTTTTGCCAAAGGCAGCAGGAAAATATTCCTGGGCAAAAGTTCCCCAGTGGTAGCATAATGGGAGAGTAAGGCAAAGATGAGAAGTATAAAGAGTGATAAGGGAACAGGATTAGCTGACCAGCCATACCAGAGACACCAAGAGAGCAGCAATGAGGCAGAAAGTGAGTGTCAAAAGCACTGAGCAACATACTTGTGGATTTCTGCTGAGTATGTTTATACAATGTGTGTGCATATGTGCATGAATATATATGCATCTATATGTTTATATACATATAGATGGATATATAGTTCCTATTTAATACTCTTTTACCCACCCCAGCCCATTTTCAAAGTAATTTTCTGGGCTGTCTTATAAAACTATTGTCTGAATAAACAGGGGAAGATATATATGACTCAGAAGGAAATAGAAAAGAGCCAAGGCTTTTAAAATGATAGAGTGGACCTGGAACAGTGCTTTAAATTCTGGAAGAAAATATTTGAACACATGTTTCGGTATCTACTAAATAAATATGATATTAAATTAATGACAGATTTTAAAAAAATAACAGTGGAGTCTAGGAGTGGGAGAGAAGTAAAATGTGAGAATATATGGCAAATCACTGCCTTGTGGTGAGGATTGTCTAAAACTCGGGAGACACTGAAAGATGGTATCAGTTTTTACTTGGTCCATAGGCAAGGCAGCATGCATGGAGTGGTGGACTCGTCTACTTTCCTCTCCTCTAGGAGAGTGCTGTCCACCCCAGGGCTTCTCAGAGCTAGCTTAGAGATCACCATCCTTTGCTGTCTATAGTCTTGGACTGACCTGTTCACTCTCTTGTCATCCAGGCCACCAGCTTCAGGAGACAGTGATGGTGTCTGTATGCCTCTGCTCAGAAGGTTACTCTCCAGTGACCATGGACTCTGGCTCCGTGACCTACGTGGACAACATGGCCTGCAGGCTGGCTCGTTTGCTGGTTACCCAGGCGGACCGCCTCACAGCCTGTAGCCACCAGACCTTGCTCACCCCGTTTGCCCTGTCTGTGGGAGCACTGCCTGTGCTGGATGAGGAGCTTGTGCTGGCTCTGACCCAAATGGAGCTACCTCGGGGGTGGACTGTCTTGGGAAATTCTTCACTAGAAGGTGGGTCTGCATGAGAAAACTCTGACCTATGCTCTGTATGTCAAGTTCAGACAATTGGTTGTCTGCTTCTCTGGGTAGGTTTTCCTGCCTACCTTTTTACTGAGCCTTGCTCTGATTTGGATGTTTTGCTTGAGGTCCTCAACCACTTGTCTGGGCTGGTTGATTCTATTCTGCCCAGGGAAGTGTGGGGAGATGGAGGTGAAGGCTTTGTCCCAAGTGTGAGGGGGTGCTGCTGCTTTAGGATGGGTCTTGAGCTGGACGTTTGGGGCTATAGCTCTTCTTCCCCTGGCTCTACTTCCATTTCTTCTTTCTTCCTCTTCTTTTAAAAGAAATGTGAACGTGGCCATGGGAAAAAAATGTAACCAATGAACTAGCATTATTAAAAATATCAGTGTCACCAAGAGCATTTGTATTATATTGGTCTTTTTAAAAAAAAAGACCACTGGTGGCTCATACCTTGTAATCATAGCTAGTCAGGAGGATCTCAATCTGAGGATCATGGTTCAAGGCCAACCGTCCAGGAAAGTCTGTGAGACTTTTATCTTTAATGTACTACTATAGCCAGAAGTGGGGCTATGGCTCAAGTGGCAGAGCTACCTTGAGCAAAAGAGATCAGGCACAGCACCCAGGCCCTGAGTTCAAACCCCAGTCCCAGCACGTACCTGTGTGTGCACGTACACACACATAATTGCATTTATTTAAGGGGTAGTCATAATTCCTTATGTATATACAATTCATAATGGTCAAATCAGAGTAATTAGCATTTCTGTTTTCTTAGTCACTTATAATTTCTGTATATTATATTTACACTAACTTTTGGAGTTGTTAATGGCAGAATGAATGTTTAATACCAACCATTTGGAATGTGTGTGTGAACAGAGCTTTAGATGCTGTACTAGGCCCATGTGAGGCATGAATCTAAACTGTTCAACACATGCTTCTTATGGTGATTACAGCTTATACAATTTTATGTAAAATACAGCTGTTGTTTTCACTGAACACAATATGTATTGTTGCTTTTTTTCTGTATTGGTCTCATGGCCTTAGCTTTGTGGCTAGACAATGTTTAATAGTTTTCACTTCCTGATAAGTTCTGGTTATGGCTTAAAGGTTGGCTTAAATTTGATCATGGGTAAGATTAAACTCACTGTTGTAGGTTAAAAAGTATATATCTTTGTAAATACAATTACAGCCATTAACCACAATGAAAGAGAATATTCATTTCATTCATTTAATCAAAATTATACTAAAATTCCCCTGGGTAAGTTTATATTTTATTAAAACCTTATCTAGAAAAGTCATGAGTGCTGTCCAGCTCTGAGACATAGTTGAGTTTGTGGGTTGTTCTTTGCTATGTGGTAGGTGATTGATAGGTATAAGGTATATTTGTTCTGAACACCATTGTCTCTGAAGACCTAGCCAATGGATATGATAGAGATAGGGTGATTGCCATAGCGATGCTTGAGGGTCTAAGGATACACTTTTCATAGCTCATGTATATATATGTATGATGTATGTTATGTGATAAATGGCAGGTGTTATGTGTTGATAATGTAATTTGTGTTACATTTTCTGCTGCCTCAACTTACAACATAGCTTCTCTACAACATATGGCAAGGAATAAGGTAATACTCATGTTTCAAGCTAAATTTCACACTAGCATTTATGACTACATCAGGAGATAACATTCAGCTCACCTTGTGTTTATGTTTCTTCATCTACCTTCCCAGACCTCTCTTGGGGAAGGACTTGTGAAGATGCTCAGATCAATTAGGCTGTGTTAGATTTCCCAGTGCACATGTATGCTATAGTGGATGCATTTTGACTCATTATCTATCAAAGCAATTTGGTAGAGTACTGCTAATTTTGAACTATTTGGATTTTGAACTAAATTTGAACTATTATGATTTTGAACTTTTTGTACTTACCTCTTAATTTAGGAGAGTTATAATCTGAACCATTCAGAATTTCTTAAATGCAAAGACATCTTTTGCTAGTACACATGTTTGTTAGTAAGTTTTCTTTGTCTTACAGGTAGATAAACCATAGTAATGAAATGAGCTTACATTGTATTAGTCATAGTGGCATTAGTGGAAAAGTTTCTTAGTAACTTTTTCTTTTTAAAAATATATTTAAAGTATATTAAATTTTTTTTGTTGGTTGTGGGGCTCGAACCCTGGGCTTGGGCGCTGTCCTGAGTTCTTCAGCTCAAGGCCAGCACTCTACCGCTTGAGCCACAGGGCCACTTCCAGAATATTAAAAATTTTAAGGCAAAGTTTCATTCTGTAGTCTAGGCTGTCCTTGAACACATGATCCTCCTGTCTTCAGTCTTATGAGTGATAAGATCACAGACATGCACCTATTTTAAATTTATTGTTAATTGATACAGACAACTATAAAAATGCACATAAATAAGTGTAACATGCAATGTTTGGACATATGTAGGCATTAAATAATATTTAAGTCAGGTCAGACATCTTTTCCTTGAATGTTTATAATTTTTAATGGAAAAATTTCAAAATTATTTTTACCTTTTTGAAATGTACATTATTATCTATACCTACATTATTGTAATCAAACAGAATTTTTTTCTTCTATCAAATGGTAACAGTAATCATTGGTCAATTTCTGTCTTCCTTTTTTTTTTTTACTGCCCTTTGACAGCCATGTCTCTATTTCTGAGACTCCACATATGAGTGAGCTCATACAGTATTTGTCTTTCTGTGCCTGGCATATAATAATCTCCACTTCTGTTCATGATGCCATAATTGATGTATTCCAGTGAATAGATATATCACATTTTCTTTATCCATTCATCAATTGATAGATACATTAGGCATTGTGACTAATGTTGCAATGAATATGAGCATCAAATGTCTCTTTGATATTGCCTTCATTTTTGTTGGATATACTATATATCCAGATGTGGGATTGCTAGATCATATGGTGGTACTGTTTTTAATTTCTTAAGGAACTCCCATACTGTCTAGTAATTATTTTTTTTAGTATTTATCTAAGAACTATTTAAAACCGTCACTCATTGGTCTTCTTAAAAACTCTTTGTTTTCTATTTATGATTTCTTTGGGTTACAGTATGATTGGCTGTTAGTTTTGATATGATAAAATCTTATCAGATTTGGTGTGACGAGTCTGCTTGAAATCTTACTGTGAAAATTTTCTGCATTACCTTGTATTTCATGATAAATATTTTATCTTTTCCCCTGTTTAACTGTTGTGAGTTATCAGGAAAGTATGGAGTCCTGGGAAAGGCCAGAGTCTGAACAGAAAACTGTCCTATAAATCAAGCTTCCTTTTGTCCTGAGCTGAGAGTCATAATGAAACATAATTCATTATGGGTTTGCAGGAAGGAAATATTCCAGGTTTGATTTAACTTCAGTCCATCCACAAAACTGGATTTCTGTTTTGTAAAATTCAACCCATTCCTTCTGTGAATAAAAGCTTTTGTGTGATTTCAGTATCACTCATTTGCAGCACAACATTGATTTGGAATGTAATTATCAAATACAGTTTTACTACTGAACTTTTAAGTTTTCAGTTTTCTGTCTGATAATGTTTGGTACACAAACACAATCTCTTAGATATTGGCATAATGTGGACAACTAGGTTCACTAAGGATGAAATATTCTGATATTTTATGGGTTGATAATCAGATGAAGTTGGGTTGAAAGCTTTTAATTCCTGCTCAAGCAAATGACTTCCCTGGGTTGGTGTTCTTTGGAGTCTGATATAGCCAGCAAGCAAGCTGGCCTTGCCAGTGGGGGGCTGCTGTGTGCAGAGAGAACCCAGGGGGCTATCAGAGCTGTGGTATTGCCCAATCAACCTAGAAACTTTTCTCCCAGCCCCCGGAGAACTGCAGCTCATTGTGGCATTGTTTTTGACTGAGTGAAGAAAAGTCCACTTCTTTTGTTTTTTGAATATTTTCACATATATTTATACTTAAAAACGCGATTTTCTAACACATTTATAAGATTATTTCTTTGTTGCTTTGTATGTTCCTTCCCTACGGTATAACCCCTGCTTTCACTGTATTTGATGTTGTTATAATTTGTGGAGGGGAAGGGAAAAAACAAATGGTTTAAATAGGGATACAGGTGGACCCATTGCAACAATGAAATGTACAAGTCGTTATGTCAAAATGAACTTTACAACTTTGGTAGGAGGGGGGAGGAGGGTTAGTTGGGAGGGTGGGGGAAGGATGGGATGGGAAGGGGAAACAAAGGAGGAGGCAACAATGCTTGATAAGAAATTACTCATTACCTTGCTCATGTAATTGTAACCCCTCTGTACAGTATTTTCACAATTAAAAAAAACAAAAAGCATGTATAGCCAATTGAATGATTCAAATTTTTTCTATGTATATATATTTTTATTATGAAAATACCATACAGAGGGGTTACAATTACATGAGCAAGGTAATGAGTACATTTCTTATCAAGCATTGTTGCCCCCTCCTTTGTTTCCCCTTCCCATCCCTTCCTATCTCCTCCCTCTCCGCCCCCCCCCGTACTCCCCCCCTACCAAAGTTGTAAAGTTCATTTTTCGATGTTAACATCATTGTTGCAATGGGTCCACCTGTATCCCTATTTAAACAATTGTTTTTTTCCCTTCCCCTCCACAAATTATACCAACACCAAATGCAGTGAAAACAGGGGTTATACCGTGGGGGAGGGACATAAAAAGCAACATAGAAATCACCTTATAAATATGTTAGAAAAAATAGCAAGAAAGAAAAACAAATTGAGTCCTTATCTTGGGGTTCATTTCGCCTAACATCAACTTGTCTGACCGTTTCTGCTTGTCTCAGACATATACTAGTTATTGCAAATAAGGGAAACCATGGGACCTATGTTTCTTTGGGCCTGGCTTACTTCACTTAATATAATTCTTTCCAAGTCTTTCCATTTCCTAACAAATGGGGCAATGCTATTCTTTCTGATGGAGGCACAGAATATATATATATATATATATATATATCACATTTTCTTGATCCATTCATCTACTGAGGGGCATCAGGTTGGTTCCATATCTTAGCTATAGTAAATAATGCTGCAATAAACATAGTTGTGCTGCAAGCTTTAGTATGGTCTTGTTTGTGATCATTTGGGTAAATGCCCAAAAGTGGGATTGCTGGGTCATAGGGGAGCTCTATGTGGAGTCTTTTGAGAAACCTCCATACTACTTTCCAAAGTGGTTGAACAAATTTACACTCCCACCAACAATGCAGTAGGGCTCCCTTCTGTCCACATCCCCTCCAGCATCTGTTGTTATTAGAGTTCTTGATTATAGCCACTCTAACTGGGGTTAGGTGGTATCTCAATGTTGTTTTGATTTGCGTTTCTTTTATGGCTAGGGAGGTTGAGCATTTCTTCATGTGTCTATTGGCCATCCTGACCTGCCAGGAGTGATTCAAAATTTTATTTTCGAGAGTAAATTATCTAGCTACTCAGAAGGCTGAGATCTAAGGACTGTGGTTCTAAGCCAGGCTGGGCAGAAAAGTCTGTGAGATTCTTATCTCCAATTAACCACCAAAAAGCTGGAAATGGATCTGTGGATCAGTGATAGAGTGCTAGCCTTGAGTGGAAAAGAAAGCTCAGGGACTACACTCAGGCCCCAAGTTCAAGTTCTAGGAGCAGTGTGCATGTGTACCCATGTGTGCGTGCATGTGCGTGTGCACGCGCACAAACACAAATATTATAAATAACACATTAGATAAGGCTCAAGTGTTGTGGGATTTAACAGTTGAATGCATTTGTCTGATCTTTTAAATATAAAAATTATAATAAACCTGCAGTAAATAGACAGGTGGTTTGTTGGAAAGCAGTTTTTCTTCTGGTTATAATTTAAAAACATGATTGAAAGGAACTAGCTGTCAGCCTAGGTCACAATATAATTGCTTCAGTGCAATACACCAGATGTTCTGTCAAGACAAACACTGCGATCCTGTGCCTTGGACAGCAGGTGGCCATTCATTAGGTATTTTAAACTGTACACCCGTCAATTTTCTGGTCTGCTCCCATACCACAGGTAAGCTGTTCTCAGACATTCTCACTGTTAACCCTCTGGAGGCCCTGTGCTGTTTGGGAGACAAATGAAAATGCAGTGCAGTTACACTGCATTATTGACAAACAGAAAATGTGTATACTTATCATGCTTTGTCAATGTCATTCTCAAATCTATGATAGTAGTCTCACTTCAAGCCCAGGAAGAAACTGATCTTCTAGTCTTCTCTTCTATAAACCTCTCCTCTCCCCCCAGAGTGATACATTTGTTATAACTGAATTTACACTGACAAGTTCATTTTTCATTCCTCCAACTTGGATTTTCTGCTAATTAAATGGCATTTCATTACAATGGTTCCAAATATAGACTGACTAGAAACACAACATAAAACAAAATAAATTTTTGGTTGTTTTTTGTGGCACTGTTTGCTAGACTCAGCAAGTGCTCTACCACTTGATCTGCACTCCTGTTCCTCAAACCACTCCTTTAGGAACCATCAAACTTCTGGGTCTTCCCTGCTGTGGCTCTCTGGTGGTCAGGAATTCTCTTTGGTGTTCACTTTTTTTTTTTTTTTGCCAGTCCTGGGGCTTGAATTCAGAGGCTGAGCACTGTCCTTAGCTTCTTTTGCTCAAGGCTAGCACTCTACCACTTGAGCCATGGTGTCCCTTCCAGCCTTAATCTGTTTATGTGATACTAGGAATCAAACCCAGGGCTTCATGTATGCTAGGCAAGCACTTTACCACTAAGCAACATTCCTATATCGAAACTTTTTTTTTTTTTTAACGCACATCGTTATCACCATTAAGTCAAGAGAGAGTTGGCTACTCTTAGGGACTGGATCTCTTTAGAACACTCCTTGTTTGCTAGGCTATGAGGCTGATACTCTGTGGAGTGAGGAGAACTTGAGCTTGAACTTCCTTCTTGTCTGGGCTTTTGTTGGGCTATAATGGGAGTGGTTTATTGAATAACATAGTCTGTTAAACTCTTACTGTGTCTGACTGATTATGTTCTCAGGGAACTGAGACTAATAGGATAAGTCTGAAAAGCTTTGCTGGTAGAAGAAACAGTACCTCCTGCACTCCCTCTATTGGTCAGTTGAACACAGTCTATGGTGCCCCAGTTTTAGTGGTGTTGAAGGCAGTACAGTTAGTAGCACCATCATGTTTGCCTTTACCAATGCTATTATATTGAAAAGGAACACTAAGGGTGTAAAGGCTCCCATTTGATTTTGTTGGAAGAAAATTGCAGTGTGTTCAACCACATGATATTTCCCATCAATTCAGGTTGGGATCTATGACTTAGAAATTCCATCCTAGTGGGGACAAGATTGGAATTCATTGAAAATTTGACATTTGGTTTACTAAAGGCCTTTTATCTGAGGCTGGCAGCAGTGGTGGCTTCAGTTGGCAAAGGCAGAAGGGAGAAGAGCCTGGTTAGGATTGGGTGAGGATCATGCTATAGTTTAGAATTGGATTGAGGCCCTTTATATATTGTCTGTTATGGTTCCTACTAAAGAGTTCCTGAGTCTTAAGGGAAATTCCTGAGATGAACAGCCAGTCACCTGCCTGGATAAGAGTCCCTAGGTATAGGGAAGTTATGCTAATGAAGGCAATAGAATTGTAAAATTGTGGCCTCATGGACAGTAAGTTTGTGTGGGGAAAAGATATTTTTGTCTTTGATGTCTTGGTACGTGTCTGAATACATAGTTTACATAGTTTCTCTTCTCAGGATTTTACTCAAGAGATATTGGAGGCAGACTAAGAATGATAGGTGCTTCATATAGCAGGACAGCCAAATACTAATAGCTAACTTTAAAAAAGATTTTATTAGCATATGCTAGTTGTACTTGGGGAATGTGTGTGTGACATTTCTTTACATCATAGAACATATCCTGACCAAATTTACTCCTTTATCACGCTCCTTCATCAATCCTCCTTGCTTCGGAAAGCAATTTCACCAGGCCTCCTTGTTCTATTTTCATACATGCCCGTAAAGTACATCAACCCTCTTCACCCTGTCTGTTGCTCCACATCCCCTGTTGATACTTAACCTCTCACAGGGGCAGTTTTTCTTTCCTAACAGGGAGCTTTCCTAGGTGCTCACCAGGAAAGAACTATTGGTCATTCACTAACTTATTAATTCAGCTAATAAGCAAACATTGACAGAGGGCCTATGCCATGTGGCAGGCACTGTGCTAGCACACAGGTTACCACAGGGTAGAAGACAAGGGCCTGTCTTTTTGAGTCTTTCATTGCATGCATATGATATGGCCGTGTCTGACTCAGGTTGCAAAAACATGCAAGTACACTACCTGTATTATGTAGGGCTCAGATTTCCATTGCATTCTCATTGCAGCAGATCATACATACTGGGATTTTCAAGTTCAGTTGTTAAAATGAGGCTTATTTTTAAAGTGTGCCAAAGCCTATGGAGTTAATATTTGTTTATTTAGATTGAATCTTCCTACGTTGCCCAGGCTGGTCTCAAATTCTTGTGTTTCTCCAGCATCAGCATGTTGAGTGCTAGAACCATTCATATGTCACTACATTTAGTTTCAGTCTAGCTTTTTCATTATAGGCAAATTTTTTTCTTTTTCTTTTTTTTCTTTTTTTTGGGTCCAGTCGTGGGGCCTAAACTCTGGGCCTGGGCGCTGTCCCTCAGCTCTTCAGCTCAAGGCTAGCGCTCTACCACTTGAGCCACAGCGCCACTTCTGGCTTTTTTCTTTTTGCTTATGTGGTGCTGAGGAATCGAACCCAGGACCTCAGGCATGCAAGGCAAGTGCTCTACCACTGAGCCACCTTCCCAGCCCCACAAATTTTTTCTTTACATATTTACACAATGTCTTTCATGGATCAGCTATGCCCCAGGCACTGGGCTATTATGGTAGGAATACAGATGAACAAATTCTTTACTAATTAGGTAATTTGAATAAGCACAAATAATTGAGATTTTAACAGCTAATTTCAGTTCAACTCCATGAGTACTTTGTAGCTGGATGTTCTGCTAGGTGTTAGGAATAAACAGTCTTCGAGAATCTGCCAGCCAGTACAATAATACAGTCAGGAACTCACACGATACAGAACAGCAAACACCACAGTGGAAATGAAGACACAGTAATCAAGAGTCCTCTGTCTAAGGGCATTGACTAGAGCCAAGGCCTAGCTTGTGGCAAAGCACTGGAATGATTTTATAATACTGAAATAATCTCAGGGATCTATCAGATGACAACATACTGCTGGGGAGGTTTGAGGAAGCATGTAGTCTTGAGTTTTCTGGATAGAGGAAACTGCTATGTCTGGCAAGTTACACGAATGAAGACATCAGAAGTGTAAAATTATGGTAATGTGGCTTGTGTTGAAGTGTATAAGTAAGCTTTTATGACCTTCTTGCACATTTTCTGACAGGTGATGGCAATGTTTAGCATAGCAGGTGGAAAGAATATGGCATTGGGGATGAGCAGACCTGGTTCTAGCATTTTCTGGCTCTTTGATCTTGGATAAAATCTCTAGACCTCTCTATATTTAGTGGAAAGTGCTTGAATTAGATGCTTTTGGTTCCTTCCAGGGTTGACATTTGTAATAGGCCTAAATACATTGTCTCTGATAAAATGTGTGAAATAAGCTTCTTATGTGGGGGAACTAACAGCATTTTTTTTTTCTTTTCCTTCAGTGTCTCTACCCAGAGAGACTCTTCTACACCTAGCTGTGAGATGGGGCCTGACCAAGCTTTCCCGCTTCCTCTTGTGCCTTCCTGGGGGAGTACAAGCCTTGGCTTTACCCAATGAAGAAGGTGCCACACCATTAGACTTAGCTTCACATGGTGGACATTCCATACTGGTGGAAGACATCACAAAGTGAGTTTTGCTTCTTCATAGTTTCTTTCTTCACTGGTTTCTACAAACTTTGGTAAGCATTATGGAAAAATAGACATAAAGCATAACCTAACATTGGTTTATGTTTTTACTATTAGTTCTCATGTATACAGTACAGATATGCATTTTATAGGGGAGAAACAGAGAGAAAATATCTCAAAAGATTCCACAGGGGAAGTCATGAAAAAAGAAATGGAGACATAATAACCTAACACTTTGAGGTTTCAACTTAAATGTCACTTCGTTACTTTTTTTATTTTTAAAGTTAGATTTATTTTATTATTTTTAAAGCAATATTTGTACAAAGGGATTTCAATTCAAGATACCTACTTTTTTTTTTTTGCCGGTCCTGGGGCTTGAACTCTGGGCCTGGCGCTGTCTCTGAGCTTTTGTGCTCAAAGCTAGTGCACTAAATAATATAAAGGAAATTAATTGTTAACTCTAAATTTCTTTGTGTTGATGATATCAACACTTTCAATAACTAGCAAGTATCTTATTGGTTATTTACAATAGTTCAGATCAGTCATTATTCTTTTTTTAAGTTTTTTTTTTGGTCCTGTTGTGGGGCCTGAACTCTGGGCCTGGGCACTGTCTCTCAGCTCTTCAGCTCAAGGCTAGCGCTCTACCACTTGAACAACAGTGCCACTTCTGGCTTTTTTCTTTTTGCTTATGTGGTGCTGAGGAATCGAACCCAGGGCCTCAGGCATGCAAGGCAAGCGCTCTACCACTGAGCCATCTTCCCAGCCCCTCTTTTTTAAAGTTTTTTTAAATTTAATTTTATTGTAAAAGTTCTGTACAGAAGGATTACAGTTACATAAGTAAGATATGAGTATGTTTCTTGTTGAACATTGTTACCCTCTCCCTTGTTTTTCTCTTACTTTCTCTTCCCCCTGATTCTACACCTTCCCTCCCTGCCCCAACAGTTGTAAAGTTTATTTCCAACATAGTGTCCTGTGAGTATTGCTGTTGCATTGGTTCACCCTTTGTCTTTTGTCTCGACATTTTGTGATTCCACTTCCCTTCCTCAAATCAGACAGATGTATATATAAGACACGGGATACCAAAAAAAAAAAAAACAAAAAACAGTGAAAACAGGGATAAACCAAAGGAAAAAGAAATAACTCCACACAGTACATTAAAATACAAAACAAAACAAAAAACAACAAAACGAAAACCTCTTGTTTCCATATCTTGGAGATAATTTTGGGTCATTATTCCTAACCTATAAAAGGAGGACTCATATATAATGATTTTCTTGTGTTTCCATGTAGTATACCAAATATAAATGGAAAAATACATTGAAAACTACAGATTACTACATAAATGTTAACTATTATTAGAGCATCATTATATGATTATCTTCCATAATAGAGTATTTTTTTATAATTTGGTTCATGGAACTCATTGTAATTAATCTGATTCAATTATAAGCAGTAAAATAGTAGGAATTAGTGCTTTCTATTTTTTTCTCATGTGATCAAATGACCATAAACCAAGGGGCACATCTGTTGAAATGGAATTCCTTTTTCTTTGGTTTAGCAGCACTCTTTTCCTTTGTTAATAGGAGTAAGGCAAGAATGTGTCCTTTGCTTTAGTCATTGTACATGGCTCAATATTCCATTGAGGTCTTGGAGGTGAAGTTCTTCATGGGCTGATAGCTATGCATCTCTTTCCTGTGTCCACAGCAGTTGACATTGTGTTTTGAAAGTTTACATGTTTAAGACATCCACTTGTGGATAGTATTAAAAGTAGTTTGTAAGCTCAATTCTCATCGTATAGTGCAGCTTCCATATTGTAAATGCACAACAGTGGTCTTACTATTTGGCCTCTTTGCCTGTTTACCTTTGTATTTTTTTTGTTGGAATAGGGACTTATTTTCTGAAACTTTCTGAAGTTATTGTCAATAATTAGTATGAAAAGTTTGGGGATATTATCTGAGTGTTAGAGTACAAAGCGCTCTTAAACACTCCAAGTAGTGGGGATAATATATATTCCAATTAAAGTACAGATGCGCCTTGGCTTATAATAGAAATGTCCTCAAGAGCCTGTTATAAGTTGAAAATATCCTAAGTTGAAAATGAATTTACCTTACCTGACCCACCAGGCACTGTAGCTTAGTAATATCATCCACAGTAAGGTACAATATCAGTTGTTTATCTTTGTGAGTCATAACTGACTAGGGACGTGGCTTACTGCCTTTCCCCAGTATCAAGTGTTTTCTGTTGCTAACCTAGAAAATATAAAAATTCAAACTTTTTGGTATTATTTCCAAAGAATTCTTATAGTGTCTGCACCATTGTAAAGCTTAAACATGAGTAGTCAAACCAGTGTAACTTGCAGACTGCCTGTAGAGCAAGCAGTCATTAACCAAATGAGGTCATGTAAAAGAGGAAAGAGGCACTTGGCTGCTTCTGTGAAGCAAGGAATTCAGAAACAATCTGTTGGGATGTGACAGCACACTGAACATCCACACTTTTCTCCTGAGGAATCTTTCCCGTTGCTTTGCACGATCTAAGAGGCCATCCAGAATATCATGATGCTACCCAGGAAGACTACATATAGCTCATAGATAGGCAATCATTCCTGGTCAAGACAGAATAGGAAAGAAGCGTACATTCAAAAATCTAGTTTGGGAATAGCATTCCTTTTTAATGAATATATTCAAGGCCACATGATCAAATTTATGCACATTTTAGTTTGCATGAGAAAGCGATTTGTAACAGTGATGCTAGTGTGTTATGAATCTCTCACTTGTTTGTAACATCCTAGCCTCACAAGGCCCCTGGAGATCATGTCTGTTTTCCACTGCAATCACCCAATAAACCCTTGGCAGCCTGCTAATTTGTTCTACATGTGCTCCATTAAAGGGAGAGGTGTCTCTTCAGGTTAAAAGGAGAATGAAATATGGAGGTAAATTTACATATTTAAAAGTCAGTACTGCTTCATTATTTATCGCTTTTAAAGTATGTAGATATGTACTCTAGGTGGGAAAGAAAGATGGTGTTAGGATCTGTTTACATAGCTAAAGCATTTGTGGCTTCTAGGTGACTTTCGAGGGACCATTTCGCCATTTGGGTTTTCAATAGGAGGGAAGGAAGGAACTGGGATTTTTGAGTTGGTGTGTGTGGATGTTCACTTGTGTTGTTTTAGTTTTCAGGGCAAGTGTTCCCCAGGCTTCTCCCGGATGTGGCTCAGTGAAGACGCCTCCCTGCAGTTCATCCACTCATCACAAATGCTCACTCTCACCCTGAACCACACAGCCGAGCATTTGCTGGAGGCAGATATTAAGCTCTTCCGGAAATACTTTTGGGACAGAGGCTCTCTTGTCAAGGTTTGTGCCCAATTATTCCAGCATACAATAATGCACTGCTCCTTTAGAGAATGCAAGCATCAATTTGGAGAGTAATTTTTGTGTGTGTGTGGGGAGTAGGGGAAGGGTTGTACTTTTTTTTTTCCTAATGAAAGCTTGGGGAACATGGAATTACAAATTGTTTAGCTCCATGAAGACTATGATATATTTTGGCAGCAGGACAAGTGTGGTTTGTAAATTCTTATTTCCTTTATGTTTCTGAGCCAGCCCTGGTCAGGTTTTGTTGTCACTGTTGTTTTTGAGACAATCCTCCTGCCTCTGCTTCTCAAGTGCTAGGACTCCAGACCTGCACCACAACACTCAGCTGCCCACAGTTAGGTTTTAATAGTCTAATATTATAAGTTTCCTCTGTATTTATTGACTGTATTATCATTCTTATCTAAAGCAGTTACATTTAGGGCTATTTTATATGTATAAAATCTGCTCTTGGGCTTTCTTTTCTTTTTTCTTTTTTTGGTTTTCTCTTTCTCTCTCTTCCTTTCTCTCTTTCTCTCTATCTTTTTTTTTCTTTTGGCAAGTCGTGGGGCTTGAACTCAGGGCCTGTCCCTGAGCTGCTTTTGCTCAAGGCTAGCACTCTACCACTTGCCCCACAGCGCCACTGGCTTTTTCAGTGTCTGTGGTACTGGGGAATCAAACCCAGGGTTTCATGCACGCTAGGCAAGCGCTCCACCACTAAGCCACATTCCCAGCCCTCTTATGGATTAGGTATATTAAAATTTTGTTCCCATGTACAGATAGAAACAGGTAAAAACTTAGTCCTTTGCTAAAGAGGTTTACAGCTCTCACCAAGGCTCCCATGCCAGACCTGAGGGTTATCAACACATGCTATCTTAAGGTTAAGTCTCATACTAATTATTATTATTACTTATGATTATTACTTAGACTGAAAAAATATTAAGACTGTGGATATATTTTAATTAGTATTAAGAAAATTCAACCAAGCTTATGCTCATAATTCTAGCTACTCAGGAGGCTGAAATATGAGTATTATGATTCAAAGCCAGTTAGGACAGGAAAGTCTGTGAGACTCTTATCTCCAATTAAGCACCCCAAAAAAATCCAGAGATGGAGCTGTAGCTCAAGTGGTAGAGCATGGGCCTTGAGCAAAAAAGCTCAGGAACAGCAACAAGGCTCTGAGTCCAAGCCTTGCACATGAGCGCGCGTGCATACACACACACACACACACACACACACACACACACACACACACACACACACACACACACACACACACACACACACACACACACACACACACACACACACACACACCAACAAAAAATCCTCGTATTATGTAGGGCTAGGGCAGTTAAGTGGACGTGGACTCACTGTCCAGATGTTGGGTTCTCAGGCACATCAACAGGAAGACACAAGTTTTGTGGCTGTACAAACTTTGGAATAGGTGCAAACGTCAGCTTAGAAAATGGACACTGTCATTTATCATCATTTTTGCTTCTATATGTTGTTGTGTTTGTATCATATAATTTAGCTAAAAATTTAGCTCACAGAGACTGGCTCAGTCTCAGGTTGGCACTGCTTAGTTATCTACAGCAACAGTGCAGCCTTGCTGCAGAAACCTGAGCTTGCTCACATACACCAGAATTGCTCACCAGCCCCCTTCAGCAACACCGGGTCAGAACTGTAAACTGTCTCTATATTTTAGCAGTGGTGACATGACAATTCATCATAAATGCTAAATGAATATGTCACATTGGCAACACACAATCATACTATAAAGACAGATACTAAGTAATTTTTTAAAATGGATTTTTTTCTTCTTTTCCTTCCTTCCCTCTTCCTTTCATCCCTTCTCCTTCTCCTCCCTCCCTCTCTTCCTCTTTCCCTCCCTCTCTTTCTCCTTCCCAGTTTCCTTTCCTCCTTCCCTCTCTCCCTTTCTCCCTTTCTCTCTTCCTTCCTTTTTTCTTTTTTCTCTTTCTTTTCTTCCCTTCCCCTTCTCTCCCCTCCCCTCTCTTCCCCTCCCCTCCTTTCCCCTTCCCTTCCTTTTCCTTCCTTTCCCTTCCCTTCCTTCCATTGAACCAGGTCTCTCACAAAATACTACTAAGTTATACCACAAGCCACAATAGGCAAACTTTTAGCTATTTTAGGACTGTATTCTCCCCTCTTCTTTTCTTTATTCATCTATCCCCTTCCCCCGAGTACCCATTTCCTGGTAATCATTTTATTGGGCTACAAGATATTGTTAAATTATTTAATCATAGCAGAGGCTTTCCTATTAATCAGAATGTTGATAATTTAGCTTTTGAACTGAGCTAAAATTAGGCAACTAGGAAATTTAAATTTTCAAAAGTTGTAACCCAAATTACTTAATGATGAAAAAAATCTAGATTTTATTCCTCCCCCCTTAGAAATATCAGCATTTTATTTCAGGTTTCTATTTTGTAATCAGAGACCAGCATCTTGATTGATGCCTTCTCCCCCCTCCTAGGCTTGGCCACTTTCTTCATTGAAGGGCAAGAAATTCAAGGTCAATACTGACCCCAAACAAATGTGGGGCAGGTGAATATCTGTATGGTGTCCACTCTTCCAGCCCCAGGTTGCCATGCTGACATCCTCTTGGCATCTTTAACTCTGGACCTGCTGTGTCTTTCCCCCCTCCCCCAAATTATACAATCATATGGGGACCTAAGAGAGAGAGGAGGTGGGGAAAGAGGTCCTGTAGAGACAGCCTGGGGAGGTAGCATCCCAGGGCATGCATGATCAGGAACTTACCTATCACTTTGTGCTTGGGGAACTCATGTGTATTTTTATGTCCCTTTAGTTCTGATCTCTAGATGTCCTGAAATGAATGAGGCATGTGATCTATTAAAATTATTATATTATTAATATTATTTCTGGTAGGATTCAAGGCTCCGTATCAATTGTGTGTTTACCTCTCCCTATACCTTTCCCCAACCCCAATGTGGCCAAAGATTTATCCTAGAACAGGTACTGAAGCCATCTTGGGCTCTTTTAACATTTGGCACATCAACCTATAATTGTAATTCTACACATTTTCACTGGCTAAAGGAAGCAGAAAGGGAAATATGGATGGTTTCAAGAGGGTAGCGTTTCTCTAAGGGGAAGAGGCTTACCAGCTTAGCTCCCAGCCCAGGAAAGCCAGTGTGTACCAACTTGTTGTTCTAGATGGTTCTTTTGGCCATGGTCTAACCCCTCATCTGGTCCTCCTATATCCTTTTGTTTTAGGGTATGGATATAGGATGCTCTGGGTGGGTGAGCAGTCCATAAACAAGTGCTCTCAAGGATCTCTGTTCTCTTTCTGATTCATCTATCACATCTCTGAGAATCTTCTGGTTGTGACCTGCAGAAAAGCCAGGGACTCATGGCAGTCTGGTCCAGTCTGGTCTTCTGCTTCTAGGTTTCTCCTGAACACTTTCCTTGTCATTGTGGGGGGCAGGTACTAGCTATGTGTTTTCTTAGCATTTTCTTTTTTAATCTACCCCTTTTCTTCCCAGTCTTCTTAGCTGTGACATGAGAAAGAGAGAAAGAGAGGGGGGGAGGAGGGAGAGAGGGAGAGAGAGAGGGAGTTGTGTAGTGTTTCACTTACAGTGGAAACCTCAGAGGGTTTTCAGCGCTATTTGTTTGTTTATTTATTCATGTCCCTTTCTTAGGCTCTTGAGCAAGAATCCCAGCCAGAGGAACCACCAACTATGCCCTCTGGAGCTGCAGAAACTGAAGAAGGTAAGAATGTACGTTTTACATCCCAGGAACCCAGAACATGCAACACTAACCAGTCAGTCTGTCACAGTATATGGTGAAGCAAAGCAGGAACTGGAGTCTCAGAGCAAGATCTAGGGTTATGTGTCCAATAAAGCTTTTAAGTCTTCTGACGGCATCAAATACTATTTACTGTCTGTTTCTCCCTTTCACTCAAGTAGCATTTCCTTAGTGCCATGTACTGGGTCTGGCCCAGGACCTGACTTTCCTAATCTTCTGAGCATTCTCCTACCACAAAGATTGTTCTCATTCCAAAGTTTAGTTTGTTCCTTAATTTCATCCTAATGTGTTATTCTTTTGCTGCTCATTCAATCACCATAAAGCTCTTTTTCTGTGTGTGATGAGTAGGGTTTTAAGGAGGTACTTCAGAAGTTATGAAGATAGCTGGTCACCAGTGGCCCATGCCTGTAATCCTAGCTACTCAGGAGGTTGAGATCTGAGGACTGTGGTTCACTGTCAGCTTGGACAGAAAAGATCATGAGACTCTTATCTCTAATTCAATTTTTTTCTGCTTATGTGATGCTGAGGAATCGAACCCAGGGCCTCATGCATGCAAGGCAAGCGCTCTACCACTGAGCCACCTTCCCAGCCCCTCTAATTCAATTTTTAGTTCTAAATCACACAGACAGAAGGAGAGGAGTTAAGAGAGAGGGAGGAGGAAGGAGAGAGAGAGGGGGGAGGGAGGGAGAGAGAGGGAGGGAGGGAGAGAAGGAGGAATAGAGGGAGAAAGGGAGAGAGGGGGAGAGAGAGAGAGAGCTCAGGAAGGTATGTTTATTGTCAGGAGAGGTGGCAGTCCTCCTGGCATTTAGAATTTGAGAGTACTGGTTGCTTGTGGGACTACTGGAAGGTCAACTACAGCTGACTCAAGACTGAATGTACAGTTCTATTCATGCTATGAGTTCACCCAGAGCTAAGAGATGCACCACTGTTTCCCATAGCATTGAGCTGACTAGCGGAGGTATCATCGTTCCTCATTTTCTTGGCAGCTGGCACTCTACCTGGGCATACAGTCTTTGCAGCAATTCACACTTGTCTTTTTTCCCTAACAAATAAGCTGGCCTGTTAGTAAGTCTAGAAACAAACCTACTTTGCATTCTAGGAAGCACTCTTACCTCCATGTTTTGTAAATTCCTGGTTTTGTTTCTTTTGTTTTTGTTTTTGTCTGGATGGATTCAGATATTACCTACCCCCCCTTAATCAAGGAGTGACAAAAGTCTAACCATATTATTTTATCTTTCATGTTATTAATTAGGGAAATAGCTTTCTGTGTTAAATTGCAAATATCTTGCTACTAGTTACTTTCCTTTTGCTTTCTATTTTTTGGGGGTTGGAGGAGGGGTGTTCCTGAGGCTTGAACTTAGGACCTGGGCCTGAGTGTTGTCATTGAGCTGAAAGCTAGCACTCTACCACTTGAGCCACAGCTCCACTTTTTGCTTTTTGTTGGTGGTTGATTGGAGATCAGAGTCTCATGGACATTCCAGCCTGGTCTTGGTGTTGAACCATGATCCTCAGATCTGAGTCTCCTGAGTGGCTAGGATTACAGCTGTGATCCATTGGTGCCCAGCTTGCTCTATATTTTAACTTGGATTTAACAGTTTGAAATTATGTGTGATTATTTCTTTAGTAATTTCTTTCCTGTAGGTAAGATCAAGTATGAAATTATGTGTGAAGATACACACACACACACACACACACACACACACACACACACACCCCTGGAGGTAGAATTATTCATTACTTTAATTTGGGATAATGAAAGCACATTAAAAAATCTTCATTAATGTAAAGGGACATGGGTTTAAGGGAGCTGAGACCCACCTTGCAGAACACTGAATGCAGAGGTCAGGGAGGAAGGATAAAACACAGCCCTTGTTCATAATGTTAACAGTCTATTTTGCTTTGAATAGGTAGCAGGGAATACTTGCTTTCTAGGTATTTGTCACGTGGTGCAAGCTTAGATTCTTTGCCACATGTTGTTAAGAAGTGGTCTTGGAGTCGCTGGCAGCTTGCTGAGCATCTGGGGCAGTCATATGCACTGTACCCTGGGGACATTGGGAGTCACCTTGCTGCTCTCTGCTGTACTGAGGGAAGCCTGGCTGCCCTAGGTCCTTGAATATCTCTGCCAGAAACTTCTTCCTGGTCTTGGGTCAGGGCCTAAGTACTTGGCCCACTTTTACTGTTGTAACTGTAACTGATCAGATTTCTCACTTCTACTTGGATGATAAAAACAAAACAAAACAAAAAAACAAAAAAATTTAGAGCTAAGTTTCTGGCTTGACAGTACCGAGTTCCCAAGGCACTGTGGAATACATTTGTGTATCACTTATTTCTTATTTTACCCTTATGCTTTCCTAACTTATAGAAGATTCTAGTATCTTTCCTTTTTATAATTCTTTTTCAGACTAATTTAGAGCAAAATGAGGTTTAAATCAGTACTTATATTTTTAAATTCTGTACTTCAGGAGCTTATAGTGTGGGGTTGGGGCAGGAAAACAATTTTTCACAGCAGAGTATGCAAAAATCCTCGGGGAGATGTTTGGAAACTGCACTGTGAAATGCTACAGACTAGACGGCAGAAGGGCAAGGAAAGCTTCCTGTAGAGGTGACCCTCAAGCTGTGAGGGAAGGGGCTTTCAGTCAGCGGAAACACATGCAATGCAGAGTCCCCAGCCAGACGTTGCTGTGGGAGAAATATAGGTCATTTTGCAGTCCTGGAATAAAAGTGTGTGTGCATGTGTACATGCGGTGCATCCACACATGCATACTAGGAATGTAGGCTTGAAAGCAGGCAGATTGTCAGGGCTTATACAACTACACACAGGAAGCTATTTCTAATAATTAAATTGGATCTTTATTTTAGAGATGTCAGTACGAAGGGAGTGTGGAGAATAGATTTGAGGGACTTTGTAAGAAGGCTGGGGACCAGCTTGGTGGGGGGGGGTTATCGAAAGTAATGCAAGAGAGGTGCAGTGTCAGAGCAGTATAGGACAGAGTCTCACATCCCCTACCTCCAAATAATTAATATGTGTATTTTGTAGGTATTCTACACCATGTTTTATTTTTGTCTACCTTTGAAAGAATACTGATAACTACGTACTTTCCAGCAGAGGGCAGTATCCAACCAGAGTGAAAATAACTGCTCTTGTCCATTCAGGAGTCCATGAGACTTATATGAAGAACAAAACTTTATATGCACAATGGAATTCTATGCCTCCATCAGAAAGAATGACATTGCCCCATTTGTTAGGAAATGGAAAAACTTGGAAAAAATTATATTAAGTGAAGTAAGCCAGGCCCAAAGAAACATAGGTCCCATGGTTTCCTTTATTTGCAATATCTAGTATATGTATGAGTCAAGCGGAAAAGGTCAGATAATGTGATGTCAGGAAAATGAACCCTTAGATATGTATTTTAATGTTTTTTTCTTTAATGCATGTGTTTCTAACACATTTATAAGATTATCTCTTTGTTGCTTTGTATGTCCCTCCCCCACAGTATAACCCCTGCTTTCACTATATTTGATGTCAGTATAACTTGTGGAGGAGATGGGGAAAAACAAGTCGTTTAAGGATACAGGTGGACCTGTTGCAACAATGAGAAGTACAAGTTGTCATGTCCAAAACGAGCTTTACAACATTGGTGCGGGGCGGGGGGGGGGGGGGGGGGGGGAAGGAGGGGGAAGGAGAAGGATTGGGATTGGGGGGGGAGGGGGGAGGCTGGGAAGGGAGGTGAAGGGTAAACAAAGGAGGAGGCTGCAATGCTTGGTAAGAAATGTACGCATTATCCTGCCCATGTAATTGTAACCCCTCTGTACAGTATGTTCACAAATAAAATAAAATTAAATTAAAAAAAAAAAAGAACAAAACATTGAGCATAACAACATCTTTTTTTGTTTATTTTTGGTTGGTCCTAGGACTTAAACTCAGGCCCTGGGGGCTGTCTCTGAGTTTTTTCAAGGCCAGTGCTCTACCACTTTGAAATACAGCACCACTTTCAGATAGACTTTTCTGCCTGTTCAGGCTTTGAACCATGATCCTCAGATCTCAGCTTCCTGAATAGCTAGTATTACAGGCATGAGCCACCAGTGCCCAGATGTTGAGCATCCTCCTTTATTTATTTTTTTAATGCTATCTGAGATCTATTAGAAGAATTTTTAATTGATTATGTTTTTCTGTTCCTTCTTGGACAATAGGTAGTAGTAGAGAGCCTAAGTTTGTGTGTATAGTCATCACATGAATGTAAGTAATGTAAACCTGGAGATTAATTTTGCTGTCTTTGTGAGTCTGGAAGTGATTTTATTAGTAGTATTCTGTGAACCAATTATGCTTTCATAAGTTCATGATTGTAATTACACTCCCAGAATAATAGGAGGGTTATTTTGTCTATATTTTTTATTGTAAAAATACTGTACAGAGGGGTTACAGTTACATGATTATGGTAATGAGTACATTTCCTATCCAGCGATGTTACTTCCTTTGTTAATAGGAGGTTTTTAAAAAAAATTAATGGCTTCAAAGCCATCTCATTTTTCATATGTTTAGGTTAATAAGGTAGCCATTGGTATTTATGAATCCATAAACTGTTTGCATCTTTTTCCTTGTCTTCTTGTGCTTATTTGGTATCTAGGATGTGTGTGTGTGTGTGTGTGAGAGAGAGAGAGAGACAGAGAGAGAGAGAGTCTTGGGGCTTGAACTCAGGGCCTGAGCACTTTTCTCTGGGCTTTTCAGAATCTTTTTTTTCTCAAGGCTAGCCCTCTGCCACTTGAGCTACACCTTTATTTCTGTTTTGTTTTGTTTTTAATGGTTAGAGATAATAGTCTCATGGACTTTTCTACCTACGCTGGCTTTCAACCACAATTCTCAGATTTCAGACTCCTGTGTAGCTAAAATCCACCAGTGCCCTGCTTGGGTGTGTGTGTGTGTGTGTGTGTGTGTGTGTGTGTGTGTGTGTGTGTGTGTGTGTGTG